CTCTTGGTTTAGTTAGGGGTAAATGGTCATTTTACCCTGAGGTCGGTTAGCAGTATTTGACTGAGTGTTTTTGTGGGAATTATAGCCGGAGGATTTCCGGAGCAGCAGCAGCAGAAGTCAGTCAGTTCCCACGCAGATCAGCAGCCACTTTGAGGTGAGTTACCTTCCAGTAGCGGTGGGTCTACGGCCACAATGCCCGCCCACCAGTAGGAGTTGCATGATAGATGATTGTCTCTGTGATATTCATCTAGGGTTGTTACTACCTGTGATATGTTTATGTGCTAAAATGACATGATGCTATGTACTAGTGACTGTAGGGGGAGATAGTCCCCAGATTACCGGCCAATAGGGTCGAAGGGGCGGTCGTGCCCAGCCATGCTAGATAGATTATGTGATAAATGTGTTATGTGGTAGTAGTAAGGGGGTGAAATAGTCCCCAGTACCCGGTCGAGAGGACCGAAGGGGAGACCAGCACCCAGATATGCTAGTCAGTACCCGGTTGAGAGGACCGAAGGGGAGGCCAGCTCCCAGATATGCTAGACAGTATCCGGTCGGGAGGACCGAAGTGGTAGGTCGGGCACCCAGATATGCCGGACAATATATGTATGTTATGTAACTGTATGGTAGGTGGTATGATGGGGGAACTCACTAAGCTTCGTGCTTACAGTTTATAGTTTTGTTTTCAGGTACCTCTTCCTCGAAGGGGAAAGAGCTGGCGCGGTAGCGGCACATCATACACACACATTGATTTCCGCATCATGAGTTATTCTGGGATTTGTACTCTGACATTATTATGTTTTTATAAAATGGTTTCCGGACACGCGACATTTTTATGAAATGATATGATCAGTGAATGTTTTATTTCTAATGTTTGCTAAGTATATGTTTCAAAAATGAATTTTTTTTGGCTCGTATTTTGGGATGTTACAATCCTAGGTTGACTCGTCGAGTTCCCCTAAACTCGTCGAGTTCATACGTGACCAAAGGTTGAGAGAAACCCTAGCCGACTCGCCGAGTCTTCGACCGACTCGCCGAGTTCAAGGCAATCTTCAAGGGACTCGCCGAGTTGTTCATCCAACTCGTCGAGTACATGGCCATCTTCATGTGGCTCGCCGATTTGACTATGCAACTCGCCGAGTCCTTTCAGGCCTTCATCCATGCAGACACTTTTTAAGCCATGCCAAGGTTCCAGATTACAAATCCAAGCTTCTAAGGCATGTTTATCACGTAAAGTTGCAAACTTTACATGCATGCAAGGCCCTAGAGGCTCTAAATGACCAATCTAAGCTTTTAATGGAGCTTTACACCTTAGGAGAGTCTCATCCTTGCAAGAGCTGGAAGCTTTATGTACTTAGAAGCCCAAGAGAGTTCAGTTCTGAAGTTACAACTTCAGATCTTAGCTTATACACAAGAAAAGCTTCCAAACATACTAGGAAAACCCTAAAATTTGTCCAAAAAGGGGATCTAGAAATGAAATGAGGTCAGGGTAGCGATTTATACCTTCCAGAAGATGCCAATCAAGATAGATTTCAGATCCCACAAGCTCCTTGCTTCTGGATACTTGATCTCCAAGCTCTCTTCTCCAAAAATCCTCTTCCAAGCTTAAGAATACACAAATGGAACACACACACTCGATTAGGGTTTGAGAGGGACAAGAAGCAGTAAATGGGAGGCTGGGGGAGGCCAATGATCCTTTAAATAAGGTGCAAAACCTCGGGATTTAGGGTTTCATCTGCCAGCTCCTACTCGTCGAGTTCCTTCTTGGACTCGACGAGTAGGTTATTAAAATGCGTGGACCAACCCGCTGCTACTCGACGAGTAGGGCAACCAACTCGTTGAGTAGCCCTTGAAATCAAGAAACTCTTATATTAAATCAATACCTAAGAATCGGGGCGTTACAAGATGAGAATACGATTTCGGCTTCTGATATTTACCGGGGTTGTGTACTGGAGATTTTTTGGTGTCGAGTTCCTTATCGATCTTATTCATATCGCGATAGGGGATGTCTGTGTTATTGTGGGTATGGATTGGTTGAGTCCGCTTGGACGTTTGATTGATTATGAGCGACAGTTGGTGACGGTTTGAGACCCAAATGGGGGAGTATTGAACATCTATGGCGAGTGTACTAGAGTATGTTCTACTTTTTATTCTACCGCCAGGGCGAGACAGTGTATTCATCATGGGTATCTAGGTTATCTTGCGTATGTGGTCGACACGCGTGTCGAAGGTAAGAAGTCAGTCTCTGATGTTCCGGTTGTGAGGGAGTTTCCTGATGTTTTTCCAGGTGATCTACCTGGTGTGCCTCCCGAGAGGCAGGTCGAAGGTAAGAAGTCAGTCTCCGATGTTCAGGTTGTGAGGGAGTTTCCTGATGTTTTTCCAGATGATCTACCTGGTGTGCCTCCCGAGAGGCAGGTTGAGTTCAGGATCGATTTGATCTGTGGTGCTACCCCGATAACAAAGGCGTCTTATCGCCTTGCGCCACCCAAGATGAATGAGTTATCCTCACAGCTTCAACAACTGTTGGGGAAGGAGTATATATGAACGAGTAGCTCGCCGTGGGGAGCACTAATCTTTTTTTGTCAAGAAAAAAGATAATTCACACCGGATGTGCATTGATTACGGGGAGTTAAACATAGACATGTTGCTTTTAGTTAACTAAAGGAATTATATATTTTGTAGTTTTTGGGATTAGTTAGTGTTAGGGCCATATTTTTTTTAAAATTATACTAAGAACCTATTTGTTTACCTCTTTAATTGAAAAATTAAGAGGCAACCTCTTATAAATTCAGACATGGCTTGTTTGCTACCCTTTTATAAAATACATCCAAATTTTATAAAACCCTCTTAAAAATTCAGTCTTCAACGCACATCTAAAGGATGAAAGTGCGCTAGTTCTCGTTCTTTCTTTCTTCTCAATATCATGCATCCACTGTTTCTTTTCATATGCACACACACACACAAAATGTTTATCTCGATCTGTTGCTTTGTTTCGTCCCCTCCATCATAGTCGTCGGCGTCCTCTTCGACTGTTGCACCACAACGACTCAACGTGAAAAATCAATATGTTTGTATTATCTTTGACATTGAGATATAATTATAATTATTATACCTTAAAATATTATAAATAACACATGTATTTTTATTAAAGAATTGGTTTGAAATCATGACATGTTATCATTAACAAAATTAGTTTTAGAATCATGACAAATGTTTTGTTAGGTTTGTATATCTAGCACGAAACAAACTCAAGATTATTAGTCTAATTAATGTCTTATAGGCCTAATCTTTATCAAACTAGGGATGACAACTTATGTTAGATTTGGATTTACATGGAATATGGAAAAATATGACCTAACATATAATTATACCAAAATGTCGAAAAATTATAGACACACTATAATATGGTTAACGACTGATTAATAAACTTTACCTCGAGTATACATTTAGTCAATGAAAGCTTTTTTGTAACGATTTATCATTGAGCTCTTTTACTATGCTAAAAAATAACATTATAATCGGGTATTATAGGTTTAGCCGTGACTATGCCAATCCCACTTTATTGTGTTTGGCTACTCATATTCTTTTTTTATTTCAAGAACAAGAAACACACTTTTTTTGGAATCTCAAGAACTGATCTATGAGTTTTGATTGAGTATGTTTTTATGAATTCTCTTCTTGAGTTTCAAAAAAAAGTCGCTATTTTAGAACTCACACCGGATCAGTTCTTCATCTTGTTCACCTCAAGATCTCATGTTCGGAATCTAGGAACTCGTTTCTAAGATGTTTAATATGCATTTGCCTCAACAATATTAATCGATCTTGTCAAATCTCGGTTTTCCTCAAAAAAATTAATCGATCTTCAAGACCTTTTGTTCAATTCAAATAACCATATGAGGTGAGGTGGCATCGTTTCCAGAAATCATGTGTGGGTTTTTTTGTTCAAACCGTATGTGCGATTGAGTTTTAGAGAGTTAAGAAGAGTAGCCAAACATAAGAATGAATTTAGTAGTAGTCATATAAAAGAAAATGTGATTGGTTTTAGAGAGTGAAAGTGGAGATGCCAAAGTTGTTGGAAACCGGCTAAACCTCATGTACCTTGCACATGAAAGAGGGGGGAGGGGGGGGGGGGGGGTTGTTAAAGGGGAGAATGGTGTCAAGTGCGAAGGATCAAACATGATAGTTTGGTTTCAAATATGGACCAACATTGCAACATCCCTGATAGTTGGACAACAATGATATGAAACAAAAATGTTTGGGACCAAGCATGTAATTTACTAAAAAATATTCAGTAGGCAAAATGGAGAAGAAATGATTTTTCATACAACATGCTCCTATGACCAGATTGCATATTTTACATTTTAAAAGATCCAAAATAAAATGCGTCACTCTCACAATTGTCAAATTGAGTTGATGATACACATTACACAATCGATCAAAAGAGTCGAACATAATAAATTCGACAATCCTAAAAAACGATATTATATAGCATTATTATAAAAACAATCAAATCTGAGTAGTTGTCACCTTTGGTTGGTGTCTTCAAAAGTGGCATTAGTGGACGACAAGGTTAGAGGATGGTTGCAATACTTGTAAAGTTTTAAGGTTAACCATTTAGCGTATTTAATTTATTGTTTTTGTATTTTTATTATTTGATAATTTAGAATATAAAACTTCACTAGCTAAATAATTTGAAAAAGTCAATCCAATCATATAAAATCCTGTGCTGAAAACATGAACAGCTAAACCATGTCGACAAATTTGTGACCCAAACCCAAAATCCAAAACGGTTTACTTGGTGTGATATAAAACAACTAAGTATTAGATTCGATTATGAAATGGTACTTGCACTCAAATTTGAAGGTAAGGTGGAAGTCATTAATTCATGGAGGCTAAATGACGACTACGACAGAAAGCAAGGGCGAAAATGTCAAGGACCAAAAGAATCGCGGGGCCCAGATCCTAATAATCTTCGCTCATCTCTGATTGTACCCCCGTGGACTCGTAATCTTTTTCTCTCTCCGACCCATATCTCGCGCTCCTCTGTTTCTCTCTCATCTCTCTCATCGAGACTTGGTAAACTCAGAAATATCGAAGAAACTTCCTCTTCAACCCAACCCCATATCGCATTTTAATTTATTTTATTACAAAACGAACCCCCAGAAATCTATCAACGTATCTGTTGGTTGTATGGTTCTTGTGCATCATCGCAGACTTCACACCTTGTTCAACATCTGTTCTTGTACGACTTTTCTGCTCTATTGATTTTTATAATTAATCCACTTTCTGTGTTTGATTGAAGTCATCTTTCTTGTTTGTTTCTGGTTCTTACACTTTCTCACTTAAATTTGTTTGAGACGTCTGAAATTGACTTGGGTGTACTGGGTATTGTTGATTTGGGGGTAATTTTATTACTTTCTGTTTCTTGACCTTCTAAAGGGAATTGAGATGTTTATCTTAATTTGGATTGAATTGCAAATAACTGTAAGATCACACTTGAAACTTATGTACTGGCGTGTCTAAGTTGTTTCTTAAGTTATGTAGAGTAGATTGACTTTCTTAGATCACGGCCTTGTTAAGTTAGTAATAAGCGAAAAAAGATCAATGCTTTCAGGGAGATTCTCATTCCTTATCCCCTTTACTTTGCCAAGAAACTTGTAATTTCTTAGGTCATCGTCCTGTTTTTCAACTTATCTTCATCATTTGAACTGCTAACTGGTTGAAGATCAATCTCTTTTAGTTTGAAGTACAGTTTATTTAAAACGCTTCCTTTTGGGCAAGTTTGATTTATGGGTAGAAAAGAGAATCCCGCTGTATATATGTTGTATGTACTACTTGCCGTTAGATTCGTCAATGTTTTCCGGTTCTTATATAAATAAAAATAATTGCGATCTGAAATGGATTTTATATTCATCTCCAGTGGTTCGCCTTCAGCATTCTGAATCAATTTAAAGAAGCTCTTTTTTTTTATTTATGGAGTTGAAGATGTCCCCTTATTTAATGAGAGTTTAAAGGTTGATGCTGCATTTTTGAACTCCTTCAAGCATAATCTATATAACAATGAATCCTCGACCTGAGAAGTTTGTGAGGTTTGTAGTGTAGAAAAATACATAAGACTGTTTTTGACTTGTAACGCATCCTTTGATTTTTTTTGTTGTTATGGCAGTGCATTAATTTGATATATATATATATATATATATATATATATATATATATGTATGTATGATGATGTGACCAGGTTTCAGGATTTGAGATCAGAAAATAGCAGCAGTGGAGGTTCTTCACGGAGATTGAAAACAGCATTGGGTTCAGTTTCTCAGATGTTCCGGAAAGGTCTAGAACATGGTTCGGGAGGGATTAAAAGCCTGAAACGATCAATGGAATCCCATTCCTTCAACAGAATCATGAGTAGAGGCCTTGGTTCTTGGAAGAATACACTTAACCCTCAAGGGAAATTCCTTCAGAAGTGGAACAAAATATTTGTGTTGTCATGTGTGATTGCTGTTTCTGTAGATCCATTATTCTTTTATATTCCTATAGTTATAGATGACAAGAAGTGTCTTGATCTGGACAAGAAGTTGCAGATCACAGCCAGTGTGTTGCGGTCCTTCACTGACATCTTCTACATCGTTCATATCATGTTTCAGTTTCGTACTGGTTTTATAGCTCCTTCTTCACGGGTATTTGGTAGGGGTGTTCTTGTTGAAAATTCTTGGGAGATTGCAAAGAGATACATGTCTTCTTACTTTCTGGTTGACATTCTAGCGGTTCTTCCATTGCCACAGGTGAGAGTGAGAATCAATATTATTAGTATTTATTTGGTATCTTTCTGACTGTGAATGCTCTGAATCGAATTTTTTGTTTTGTGTTATATCTCAGATTGTGATTTGGTTGGTTATACCGAAGATGCATGGGTCAAGATCTTTGAATACAAAAAACATGTTGAAGTTTGTTGTTGTGTTCCAGTATATCCCCAGGATGCTTCGAATCTATCCACTTTATAAAGAGGTCACAAGAACTTCTGGCATACTTACTGAAACCGCATGGGCTGGAGCTGCTTTCAATCTCTTGCTTTACATGCTCGCTAGTCATGTAAGAGGTGGCAATAAATAAATAGAAATATAAAATTACCTACCTACCTACCCCTGATTTCAATCACCTTTTATCTAAACATTACATTACATATACACCCTTTTGAGTGTTTGATGATGGTTTTAGGTATTCGGGGCATTTTGGTATTTGTTTTCTGTTGAACGTGAAACAACCTGCTGGGAAGAGGCGTGTAAAAATACAACCGGGAAAAATATAACAAATTGTTCCCGTTCTTGGTTTTCTTGTGGTAATCAATCACATCCTGTTGAGTATTTGAATTCAAGCTGCCCCATAACAGAAATGGAAAACCCTCCTTATGATTTTGGAATCTTTCTTCCTGCCCTTCAATCTGGTGTTGTCAACTCACTTGATTTTCCACAGAAGTTTTTTTACTGTTTCTGGTGGGGTCTGCAAAATCTTAGGTATCTCAAAACAATTTCTTTCTTTGGATGTTTATTATTTCCCACACCACACACAGGACATGGCATCACATCACATCACATCACGGTATGTGATACTTTTTTTCTTGGTCAAACTTGCAGTTCTCTCGGTCAAAACCTTCAAACGAGTACCTTTGTGTGGGAAATTTGCTTTGCGGTGTTCATTTCTATATCTGGTTTGGTATTATTCTCGTTTCTCATCGGAAACATGCAGGTTGGTAACTCATATTTTACATATATATATATATATATATATATATATATATATATATATATATATATATATAACTTAAGATCTAATGGTGTGAGAACCCTACATTTTATTGTATTACAGACATACCTGCAATCTACAACAATAAGATTGGAGGAGATGAGGGTGAAAAGACGAGATGCAGAGCAATGGATGTCCCACCGGTTGCTTCCAGAACCTCTCAAGGAACGAATCAGAAGATACGAACAATATAAATGGCAGGAAACGAGAGGCGTTGATGAAGATAATTTGATCCGGAACCTTCCCAAGGACCTTAGAAGGGATATAAAGCGTCATCTTTGTTTGAAACTGCTAAAAAGGGTGAGTTGTTGTTCTTTTTTTTTTTTTTAAATATAAAAAATCAAATCGTATCTTATCTATAATTAATAATGGTTTGGTTTTTCAGGTGCCAATGTTTGAAAAAATGGATGATCAGTTGATGGATGCGATGTGTGACCGTTTGAAACCGGTTTTGTATACGGAAGATAGTTATATTGTGAGGGAAGGGGACCCGGTTGATGAGATGCTGTTTGTGATGCGTGGGAAGTTATTGACAGTTACAACAAACGGTGGTAGGACCGGTTTCTTCAACTCTGATTATCTGAGAGCGGGTGATTTTTGTGGTGAAGAGCTGCTGACATGGGCCTTGGATCCCCATACATCATCAAACCTCCCCATTTCCACAAGAACAGTCCAAGCACTTGAAGAAGTCGAGGCCTTTGCTCTCATGGCAGATGACCTTAAATTTGTAGCTTCTCAGTTCAGGAGACTTCACAGTAAGCAGCTACGCCACACTTTCAGATTTTACTCCCAGCAATGGCGGACGTGGGCCGCTTGTTTCATACAGGCGGCATGGCGGCGGCGTTGCAGGAAGAAAATGGAAGATTCCCTCCGGGAAGAAGAGGATAGGCTGCAGAACGCCTTGACTGGAGGTGGTGGGAGTGGGAGTTCGCCCAGTTTGGGTGCTACAATCTATGCATCAAGATTTGCAGCCAATGCCCTTCGTGCTTTAAGGCGGAATGGTGCAAGGAAAGCAAGGATTCCTGACAAGTTGCCTCCATTGATGCTTCAGAAGCCTGCAGAGCCTGATTTCACTTCCGAAGATAAATGATATATGTTACTCATGTGCTTTTTTTTTTCTTTTAAATTTATTATAGCCTTTATCTTTTTTAGGGCTTGTTTATAGTGTATGTTGTACAATGACACAACTTCTTAATAGCTATTCCGATTGTTGTAAAAGATAAAAAGATAAAAATTAGTTAAATGATTCTTTATTATAGCCCTACCTACAATTGCATCAATCATCATTAACCATTTATTATACTTTTAAAATGTTCAAGAAATTATACAAATGATGTTTTATTGAAACATATGTACAAGCACTAGAATACAACCTGAGAAGATTTAGAAAGGTGTTTGGATCATGCGAGAGAGGTGGCAACCATAACCCCTAAAGGGTTTGATATCTTCATTCCCTCTTAAAGCGTAAGCCCATATTTAGTCCCAACTATTAGAACAAAGTCCCAAGTGGTCAATTTGAGTTCTTGCTAAAGCCTGCCTAATAACATCATGAGCATCTCGAACAAATGAAATCCCAACAATGTACGCATCGGTACCAAAAAAGTCAGAGATCAATAATGTTTTTGAAAGTCAAGCCTTCATATTGAATTTTGCTTACGAGGATGTTGACGGATATCTGGGAACAACTATTTCTGAAATAGTCCCTTACTCCCTTTGAATTTTGATCAATCTCCATATATTCCCATCCTCAAATGCAATAGTCAAAGAGATGCCTAGAGGAACAAGTCGAGTGCCAACTATGGAAGAAGTTAAATGTGGTTGTTCAAGTAAGTTTGTTAGGAATAAATGAGAATAAATCACATATATAACGACACAATATTTAATGTGGTAGGTCAACATGACCTACATCCACAAGACATGATGAAGTATTTTCACAAGCTTGAAAACGATAATACAATTAAAACCCTAGCTATAATTCGTATTATATAAGCAAAGTACAAAACGTAACCCTAACTAAAACGAGACTGTAACACCCCTCGCATGAGCTTATTTGAAATAACATTTAATTAAATATTTAAAAATATTTTCAAGGTTTTAGTTGCAAAAAAACGGTCCCAAAGTTTAATTCAAAATGATTTACAGAGTTCAAATGCAAACAACAGTCCCAAATATAATTTTTCAAACATTTGGTGGTTTAATAAAAACATTTCATACCAAAGTCTCACCACACATATCAAAACAAATGTTTAAGAAGAAATTACAAACCAAATGTCTTCTAAATATCCAAAGCATATGAGTCTTCTAAGCTTCTCACAATATCTACTAACCTGCAAAGTTTATTAACGTAGTGGGTTAAGTTATGGGGAGCCTAATGAGTACAATCCCGATAATGTATGAGTGATCACTCAACTCATACACAAATATACAAAATCGTACTTCTCAAAACAACAAAAACATATATAATCAATTTGGGGAAAAATATAACTTTTAACAACGTACATTGTCATTTATGACAATTCCCACATAAACGTCGCTGTTTAATAAACAATACTAACTAGGTGTACCTAGAGTAGCACCTCTTAATAATCAAAATCCAAATAAAGTAGTTAAACAATTAAGTGCTCATGCAAGCTAAAACATGATAGAAATCAATATTTCAAATTCAATATTTCCATTACATCCAAAACAAATAGAAGAAATTAGGTTTATTATATAAAACATAAAATAAGGGTCTTACCTGCCCAAAAAGGATCCTTAAAACATTTTAGTTTCGAAAAAGTGACAAAATAATTCCCACAATATACAAAGAGTAAAAACAAGATCAATCACAATAAGTAAGATTCAATACATGCAAGTACTCCCAACCATTTGTCAATCTTAAATTCCATCTCACAACAAATGTAAGATGTATAGTACTTGTAACAACCCAAAAACAGTGATAAAAATTTTCATTGAAGGACTTACCTCACATGGCTTATCACGTAAAGTTGCTAACTTTACATGCATGCATGACTTAATGAAGCTATTAAGCTCAAGAGGACTTAATGGATGACTTAATGCATGCATGAGACCATAAACCCCATAAAGTTTGCACCTTAATGCAAAAGAAACTCATATTATGCTCTGATCTAAAAGGATAAGCCCCTCATACATCTTAACTCATCAACCAACCCAAAAAGGGACCAAAAGCATGAAAATCAAGACATAAAGAGATCTAAGCATTCAAAAGCCAAGGTATGAACTTGATACCTCAAAAGGATTGCAAAATGAGTAATGGTTCTGGATCTCTAAGCTTCCCACCAAGCTATGCACCTTCAACCTTCTTCAATTTCTTCAGAAAGAGCAAAACAAGCACCAACTTCTTCTCAAAAGCTCAAATACACAACAATGGAGGCTAAAGGTCGATTTAAGGGTTTTAGGGCAATGAGGGCTGGTAAAGAGGCCAGCCCTAGGGACTTAAGGACTTGTATAGGGTGCAACACCCTAAAATTAGGGTTTTCTTATCTGCTCATTACGCCCCGCGTAATCCTCGTACGCACAGCGTATGAGGCCTCACACCCGCGATTCAAATCCACCTTAGTACGCTAAGCATACATATGGTACGCCCCACATACTACTCCAAGGGCCAATATGAAATAAATAAATGCAAAAGGGGATAAAAGGAACATACCAAAAATCGAAGTGTTACAGTCGATCTTGTTTGTGAAGAAAAAGGATGGGACGAATCGGATGTGTATTGACTACTGGGAGCTGAGTAAGCTAATGGTGAAGAACCGTTACCCACTCCCGAGGATCAACGTTTTATTCGATCAGCTTCAAGTCACATATTGGTTCTCCAATATTGATCTGTATTCGGGTTAGCATTAGATGAGGGTCAGGGAGGAGGACATGTAGAAGACGACCTTACGAACTCGTTATGGTCATTACGAGTTCGTGGTGATGCCTTTTGGACTCACCAATGCTCCAACCGCATTCATGGATCTCATGAATCACGTACGCAGACCCATGTTGGATCGGTCCGTGATTGTGCTTATTGATGACATTCTGGTCTATTCCAAGACCCGGTAGCAACATGAGGAGCACGTGAGGGAGGTATTAGAAACTCTGAGGGTGGAGAGATTATACGTGAAGTTCTCCAAGTGTGAGTTCTGGTTGCGTGAAGTGCAGTTTCTGGGGAACTTTGTCAGCCATAACGATATTTTGGTTGACCCGACCAAGATTGAGGCGGTGATGAGGTGGGAGGTTCCGAGGTCTCCATCTGAGATTCGGAGTTTCCTTGGATTGGCAGGTTACTATCGAAGATTCATTCAGGATTTCTCCAAGATAGTGGTTCCCTTGACCAGGCTGACAAGGAAGACTGTCACATTTCGTTGGGGGCCTGAGTAGCAGACAACTTTTGAGACCTTGAGATAGAATTTGTGTGAGGAACCGATTATGACCCTTGCCAGAGGGTGTGGAGGATTTTATGGTGTATTATAATGCTTCGATCACGGGTTTAGGTGCAGTGTTGATGCATCGGGGTCATGTGATTACGTACGTGTCAAGGCAGCTGAAGCCTTATGAGGCGAATTACCCTACATACGATTTGGAGTTGGGGGCAGTGGTGTTTTCCCTCAGGATTTGGCAACATTACCTCTATGGGGTCCGCTATACTATCTACATGGGTCACAAGAGCCTGAGGTATTTGATGGATCAGCCAAATTTGAACACGAGGCATCGCAAATGGTTGGAAGTGGTGAAGGATTATGATTGTGAGATCCTTTATCACCTGGGGAAGGCCAACGTGGTGGTCGATGCTCTCAGTTGCAAGGCGATCATGGCTCCGATAACGGATTTATGTTTAAGGATGACAGTGATTACCCAGCTGTTAGATTAGATTCGAGAGGCTCAGATTGAGGCTTTGAAGAAAGAGCACCGGAAGAAAGAACACATTGTGGTCAGGTGGCTTCCTTCGATTATGATAGTCGAGGGAGGGTGTGGGTTCTGTATTGGGGTGGTGCACGGCAAATTTTGATAGAAGAAGCACATAAGTCGAGATTTTCTATTCATCCCGAAGCGACAAAGATGTATAGAGATCTCCGGCCTGATTATTGGTGGCCATGTATGAAACGGGATGTGGCATGGTATATGGAGAGGTGCTTGACTTGCAGGAAAGTCAAGGCCGAGCATCAGCGACCCCACGACAAAATGGAGCCGTTGGATATTCCTGTTTGGAAATGGGAAGAGATTACAATGGATTTTATCACCAAATTTCCTTGGACGGCGTGCGGAGTGGATTCAATATGGGTCATCATGGATCGATTGACCAAGAGTACATATTTTATCCCAATCCAGGAGAGTATCTGGCAGACATCTACATTCGGGATATTGTGGCACGTCATGGGGTGTCGGTTTCTATGGTCTCCGATAGGGATGCTCGGTTCACTTTCAAGTTCTGGAAGAGATTTCACGAGGAGTTGGGTACTCGTCTGCACTTCAACACGACTTTTCACCCGAAGACTAACGGTTAGAGTGAACGGGCTATCCATACCTAGGAGGATATGTTTCGGGCTTGTGTATTGGGTTTCGATGGGAGTTGGGATACGTACCTCCCTTTGGCGGAGTTTCCATATAACAACAGTTATCACACCAACATTGATCAACCTCCTTTTGAGATGCTCTACGGGAGGAAATGTAGGACCCCGATATGTTAGGGCGAGGTTGGTCAGCGAGTCATGGGGAGTACCGAGGTGGTACTCAAGACAACCGAGATGATTCAACAGGTTCGCGGTAGACTTCAGACAGCGCAGAGTCGGCAGAAAAGCTACGCAGACAGACGCCGGTCAGACTTAGAGTTCCAGGTCGGGGATATGGTACTCCTGAAGGTGTCACCTTGGAAAGGTGTCATCCGGTTCAGGAAGCGGGGTAAGCTAGGCCCCAGGTATATTGGTCCTTTCAGGGTTGAAGCTCGGGTGGGCAGGGTGGTGTATCGTTCAGATCTCCTGAAGGAACTCAATCAGATTCACAGTACTTTTCACGTCTCTCAGCCGCGGAAGTGTTTGGTTGATGATTCCACAGTGGTTCCATTGGAGGATATTCAGGTGGATGATCGCCCGAATTACATTGAGAGATTGGTAGCGATCCTCGACTGGAAGACCAAGACTTTGAGTAATAAGGTGGTGAACCTGGTGAAGGTGCAATGACTGCACCGAAAGGGCTCTGAGTGGACGTAGGAGCCAGAGGATAAGATGAGGGAGCACTACCCAGGCTTGTTTGCAGCAACGGAC